TGTGGTCTTCAAGCTCCTCGTCTTCTACTATCGATTCTCTTGACCAACTACTCCTACTGGACTGTCGAACGAGTGTCTCTCCTGCTGTGATCACTCATCACAATCGAGAGTTCATTTGGTTCGACCTGCGCTCACCACCTCTGGTTGATAGAAGTCTCTTAATATCACATAGGCTTTCATCTAGTTGCTTTATAGTAGCTTCATGAGCAGCATTTTGAGTCCGCAGATCGTGGAGCTGACACGAACTCCTCGAGCCTCACTCCACGACTTGATCTCCTCCCGCTACCGCCTGTTGATAGTATAAGTTCAACTCGTTAACCTCCGCCCGTCGCTCTGCTTCGCTCCGCTCGAGTTTCTCCGCCATTCTGTCCGCCTTGGCTCCTGTTCAAACTGCCCATCACGGTGAAGATAGAAGAAGAAGACCCACTTTCGGTGGTAACAAACTGATTCTGCCGTTCTTGTTGAAGAACGACTTGTTGCCTAGCCTCCTCCAGCTGTGTGTTGAGATCCACTATCTCGCCCTTCTTACTCTCCAACTCCTCCATCAGACTCTGTAGTCTTCCCTCTCGAGCTCTGACTTGATTCTTCAGGCTACCTGAGGCTTCCTCAGTCACTCTACGATAGAGTCTATCGCTGAGCACGGTCCTTCTCATCACAGAAGGAACTCGCAAGTGATTGGCGCAGTAGGGCGGTAGCGATGAAATTCGAAGGCAGTATGCTAGAAGTAAACGTATGGGTAGTCAATCGATAGCAGTTTAACCATCACGCTGTTGTTCGCATGTGAACCATTAAACACTCCTCTAGAGCTAAGGGTGCTCCAAGAGTCACTACTCATTCACCTACTGGTAACCTTCCTGAGTGCACTCTTGCTGCTTTCCACTTCCGCTCTCAGCGCTGCTATCTCCTCCCATCGTGCCTTATCGGTCTCTTCCTGCTCCTTCAGCTGTCTCTGCAACGACTCTATCCGCTCGTCCTTCTCTCCCAGGGCTGCCTGAGTTCATATCAATCATATCATCCACTCGCATCGCCTAATTACCGTCAAGCTATCGACTTGCTTCTGCCACCGGCTTTCCTCGCCCACCACTGGGCTGAGCTCCCCCAGCGCCAGATCACTGCTTGGTGACGCCTTGGTATCCCCATCAACTCCTATTTCAATCACTCCGGCGTTCTGCTGTGCACAACTAGTAGTACTAACTCTTCCCACAACTCGCCTGTTCACCCTCCTCATGTTGGTGGCTCCTCTCGTGACACCTCCACTTACCACCTCACCACTACGTTTACTATCCGTCGTGGCCTCCATCCTTGCCTGAGAGCCCAGCCTCATATAGAAAGGGCGCATTCTATCAGCCGGATCTCGGCTACTGCTCCTCTCCCTCTGTTTCGTGCAGCCTCCCGCTGAGGGATTGCTCTCAACCCTCGATGATATCGTTTGGACTCTTGAGGGTGGATCGCACTTAGGAGTAGATCTGCTACGGCCTTTTCCTTTACCTCTACTCGGCTCCTCACTCGCGCTCTTCGGCCGCCTCGAAGATTCTTCACGAGGACTGACTATCCCAGTCATCGTTCGTACTCTAGGACTACTCAATATAGGCCTCGGAACCGGCGTCAGCGCCCTACGACCGCTAGCAGTGCTACTCGCATAACCATCACTTGCCGCAGAATTAGATCCCTCAGAAGACCGTCTCTTCTTCATCTCACTGTGTTGTCGCATCGACACAGAAGATGATATTCCTAACGCCCTCGGCCTGCCAACTGGGGGACGTATCATGAACTTACGATTAATTGCTGTGACCAACTCAGGTGGCGCG